CGGTCATTTATGCAGTATCTAAGCTGTTAAAAGTTCCACTGTTTTCATCTACGCATTTTGAAATCATTACATATATCTGTAAGAAAAACAGAATGCATAAAAGATAAAAAGTAAATTAGCAGTGTAAATTAATTTCCGTTCTCTATTCTAAAAATTTGTGCCATTTCAAGACTAATCCATTTCACACGATTCTTACATAATTCTGATTATGTAAATGGACTAACACTCAAACAGCCAATAATAATTTTACAGCAACATTAATTATACAATCAAAATGCATTGAGAACCAAAACTACCTCAGTCTGAATTAAGATTTCATCCTGAAAATAACACACTCGCTACTTTTCGGCTTAGCTGGACTGCTGCTTCCTTCCTACTGCCAAGATATAAAAAATGTAAACCTCATGAAATAGGCACAAATAATGTGCCAAGTTGTTAGTGGCCGCAAAATGTTTACTGAAATTTAAAGATTTTATCTGCCTTAGCTGGCAGTTTCATATTAATTGTGGATCGGCATTTTAGCATTCTATGACATCAAAATTTTCGCTGTTCATTCAACCATCCACATTCTACACCATCAATATTGTAAATCCCCTTTTTTATTACATATATATATATACATTGGCAATGACAAGAAGTATAATTTTAAAGCTGTAAGTTAGCCGAGTTTGCATTTTTTGTGTTTTTTTTCTGTATGCAAGTGTTCAATCATTGTATTAATTGAAGTAGATGCTTGACCTACATAAAATAGTCTCAGATTATAGCAGAAAGATAAAAGAGATGATAAATGAAGACATCATTAAGAATTTATTTGATACCATGCAATTAGGTTTAGGGAAAAGATTGACAGCAGTGAAACAAGCAGCATATAGTACAATAAGTACAATCATGATTACTCAAGTATGCAGTTTAATTATTAAAGCAGAAAGTTATAATGACGAATTTATAACATATTTATTTAATCCATACATATTGATACATATTGAGTGGGGATGGGAAAAGAAAATCAAATTAGAAAAAGCAGAATGGAAATTCAAATGCAGAAAGCTACAATAAGAAACTAAGCTGAAGTTGGCTACTGACGAGCTACACCTTTTAATGCCAATACTTAGCTACAGTGGACTGGTAACAGTGTGTTCTTCTTTTCAAATATGATATTGGTATGTGAAAGCATAACTTGTAACAAAATTGCATTTTCTGTAAACAAATTTACATTTTTAAAAGCACTTTTTATTGGCACATGACATAACCCAGTTGAGCCTTTTTACCATTAAAATGATTGCAGATTTCCATTACCTGGCATCCTAGACAAGACATTATTTCTAAACATGCAAAAGATCATAAAATCGAGGAAGTGACAAAACATTCATTCACAGGGGATTATTAATGAGATATGTGAAGATATCTACAAAGACAATCCCAATGATGTCATCAAAGTGCAATTAAAATTTCAGATTTTACAGAAAAAATAAGAATTAGAAAGATTGGACAACCAAATAATGGATGAAATATTAAAAGCTAATAAGACAGAAGATAGGAAATGAAAGTAAGTCTGTTGAACATTATTTAAACAATTATTAAGATTAAAATAACTCTACATAAGAAAAAAAACTGATATTGATATTCTAGCAAATTCTTCTTATAGTGTGAATATTTCACAAAAATGAAAATTTTTAACTTCATGAATTGAGTTAAAGAAATTTAATGGAAATGTTAAGGAAAGTTTGCCATTTTGGCCCTCATCCTGCAGATAAATTCCAGTATCATATCCAATCAACAGTGATAAATTCTCACACTAGAGAATAGTTATCCTGCAACTGCATATAATTACCCAAAAATAACAGAAGCTTTAAGATTTGGCAAAAAAGATTTATTAATATAAGTTTAGAGAACTTTTGTCATAGCCGTTCAAAATACCACAACAAAATTCACTTCTTACCTGTCAACTTTGTATGACATATTAGAATCTCATTTGAGGACTTTAAAATCTCTTAAGTGTAGCAACTGAAACCTATAATGTAATTCTGTTTCCATTGGTACAATCCTATATTCCAGAAGAGTTGCTAAAAGCCTAGTAAACACAATCAATTGGAGATGCAACAAAAGATTGCCCTGATTTAATAGAATTCATTCGAAAAAGTTGGAAAGAACAATACGTTTCAACTGTAGTTTCCTTAAAAAAATTTTGAGTAAAAAAAGAAATCATATATATATATATATTCCATATAAACAAAGTGAATTTTGTGCAGAAAACTGCAACATAATTGAATATTTTAAAAAACTACATGGGAAAAACTCTTATGACAAAAAATGTAAAAAGTTCAGAGATAAAATTACTTATAATATAATTACAGTAACATTTGCTTTTTTAAAAAAGTGATTCAGAAACTACACTTTATTATATTTATTTTACTTCATTCATTTCTCATAAACAAAACATTCACAAATCGCCAAAATGAAAAGCAAAGACACTTTAAAACACGATAGAAAATAAAAATATTTCATTTTAATGCTATTTTTCTAAAATATATATAATTTTAACCTATCATTTTTTGAGAATAAATAGTTAAATTTAAATAATTCTCTTGTGCCATTGTTAATTTTAAATTGTTAATTTTAAATTCTCTTGCACCAAGTTAAATTTAAATAATTCTCTTGTGCCATTGTTGCAAGAAATGAAATTTGAATTTAACAAACATTCTCTATTCGTATAAAGCAAATTATATGGATATTTTAACAATGTTATTTCATTTGTAAAAAAAAAAAAAAAAAAAAAAATGTCATAAAATTTGCAAACCTCCTAATGAAAAATTATGTAGGCAAACTGATCTTCATATCATCAAAATCTTCATAAGCCATATATAGGCAAAGTGATCTTAAAATCACCAAATCTTCATTCACAACAAAACAATTCACATTTCAAAAATGAAAATCCTCTTTTTCTTTCCCCCAAATGTAAAATACAGAAGAATGAATTCAAATAATAACCTGAACATCTGCCATGTACACATGAATTAAATGCAAATTTTGCAATGAATGACCAAACTGGCACCTTTATAAAAAAAACTGAAAATTCATAAAAAATTAATTTCATGAGCAAGATTGTAAAATTCAAACTGCTTTTGTAAAAAACTATAAAAAATTCATAAAAGCTGGCACGTATGCATTGTCTTTAGTGGTCCTGAAGCTGGGTAGTTAAAACAGACAGCATTAATTATACGGCCCTCCCCAGGTATATATTATTCTAATACTGGCAAATAGTTTCAGAGTATCTCCTCCACCTTTTTCAAGAGTCTTTATTTATGTCATTTGTCTAAACCTTTGAGGAATTTCTGAATTCATTGACAGAAGTGGATGGAAACATGATCTTTATGAATCGTTCTTGATGGCCATACTTTCATCACAATATGCTGAATTGCAGCTATAAGGTCAAGGTCAAAGCCCAAGAAACATTTTTATTCAAACAGATAGTCGACTTGTTGATGATACCAGTTTTAAAATGCTGGATGAACAACCAAGCACATGTCCTGGAAATTTCACTCTGGGATGGCTGACTGCTCCTTTTTTGCTGGCAAGAGTAATTTCTGATGGCCCCATTATTAGTCACATGATTCAAACTCCATTCCAAATATTAATTCCCACCCAGATTGGCAGTCACGGAAAGAAATGTCAGATGAGCAAAATTAAGGATCGTTTGCAAGTTTCGGACAAAATTAAGAACTATTAAGTCCCTTCCCCCCCCAAAAAAAATACTTCCAAATGACTCAGGGCTTTTAACAACAATACAAACTTTATCAGGAAGAAGTGAATAAATCTTTCATTCATAGATCCTCAAAGCATCTACAGAAAACTCTTAAGCGCAATGAAATGCCAGGGAAACAAGCAAATATATTATTAGACACAGAAAGTGATGTCACTATAATAAGTTATAACTTTTATACTGAAATTGGAGAAACAATGAAACAAAAGAAACCATAGAAAAACTCAAAAGTTGGACTCCAAAGACTCCAAAATCTGAAGAAAAGAGCTTTTTACAGAAGACCAGTAATGAAAAAGCAAAAGGGAGGAAAAAAAAAAAAAAAAAAAAAAGGTAATGCTAGAACTTTCTATTTAGGAAATTTACCTAATAATAATATTCTTAGAGAAGAAATCTGAGGTTAGTCTTCTGATATCAAATATGCTGTTGCGCCAAAAGAATTTACAAAGAAATGAAAAGTATTACTTGCACTTTTAGAATTTAATACAGAAGCGCAGAAAAATCACAAGATATCGCAGCAAGAAAATCAGCGAGACAGGAATCTCTGTGATTTTATAAAACTGATCATTTAATCGCTATATAATCGACTCAATTCAGGACTAATTAAAATCAAATTTTCTGGACTTTATCCTATCAAAGCAGCAAAAAGCAAAGCTTTTTCCCCTCATCAAAGCAGCTAGGCTCAATGAATGTTATGACATTGCAAAGATTGGCAGTCATGAAGATTAGATTATTTTTGAATATGGCAAAGTATATGGGCACTATCTTCCCAAGGGAAGAAAAACATTTCTGAAGGACTTTTTTTTTATGAAAACTGGCTCATATTCATGTTACTTACTAGGAAAATCACAAAAGATAACCATGCAGCCAAACTGTTCATCTGAGCATGAACTCAGGTTATATATATATATATATATATATATATAAATAGAGTCTTTACATATGAAATAACTATTAAGACAGTGAAGGTGGGAATATCAAAACATTAAAATGATCACCTGCCAATAAAGAGAAGAATGCTTTTTTAAAACTGGCAATGATAAGAGTTTTAAAGATGTAAAGATAGTCACTTGTGCTTGTATTTCCTTTTTTGTGTGTGTATGTGTGTGTGTGTTCATGCAAAGGAAATTATTTATGTTAATCAAAAAAAATATTTATTGTATAAAAGTTTTATTCATTGCATTTGTTCAAGATGTAAACCCGTATATATGTGTGTGCAATGATTAAAAAACATTATACTTACTGCTACAAATACTACTAAAGCAGAGCCAACAGCTACTGGAACAGCTGAAAAAAGTAACCAGTAGTAGTATGGTTTTAATAAGCAGCTGTAATTTGTGCAGTTATCCACTTCTAGGAGATAGTAAAGGAAATGATGCATTAATGAGAAGTGTCAATATACATCCAAACATACAAAAAATAATTAGCAATGAATTTTAATATCTTTTATTGTAATTTTTTCTGTGGAAGTCTCTATGTATTAAAAAAAAATACATAAAATTCACTGCATTCCTTCTTATCCATGTAGTGTCTTTCCTGAAAGTTTTCAAAAAGCAAAGTGAAGAGGAAAACGTTGCAACTTTTGGGAAGAAACTTAATATATTGATACAAATAAATCTCATTATTAAAAGTCAAAACATACTAATTCAAAATTTGAATTTTTTAGAATATAATCAGGTTTTACTAACGAAGAATTGACATTATCAACTCACAGAAACTTATGTATATAGTAAAGAAGTTTTAAAACTGAAGTAAAGAGAAGCACTCACATTTGGGTGAAGAAAGAGAAGAAAAATGAAAGCTATTCAATTTATTGGATCAGGATATTCTTGATGCAGTGACTCAACAGAAGTCATCACAAAGAAAAAAATATAAATGGAATACTAGGGATAGGCACAGCATGGCACTGAAATGTAAGATCGACCCATTTTAATGAAATTTTCCTCATGAAAATACCTTAATTTAATGCATATTTTATCCAGAGTTGACAAATTGAGGGGGGATTCAAATTTGCTCACTTTTTCAACTTTTTTTATAAAGAATTTGTTTTTTTTTTTTTTTTTTTTTTCCTGAGATAGCAAGCCAATTTAGCAGTCATTTTTAATCTGTCACTGCTGAATACACATACCTGTGATAAAATGTTCTGTGATGAATAAAACTTAGAATTCTTAATTAAATATAATTTTTACCTTAGATGATCAATGAAAATCAAACAATCAGATTCATGAAAAAATTTCAATGTCATTGAGTTTTATGAGATGGGAATTAAAAAAAAAAAAAAAGCTTGCATCTAAATTAAACATAATACGGTGTTCTTTAAGTAATAACCAAAGATAGTATCTTCCTTTTTGGTAGATGCCATCTTTAACTTACCTGAAGTTATGTTGTCATTAGAATAATGGCAGTGACAACTCATGCTGTTATCTTAATAGTAACATGATTTAAGATTTTTGTATTTTTTTAGATGCCAGAGATGGACAGAAAACAAAGTTAAATTTTTCCATTTGTTTCTTTAGAAAACAATTATTATATGCTGTGAAATTTATAAATTTATGAATTTAACATGGTGGGACATCCATTTTACACAGCATATTGTTATTATGGCTTCAGCAAAAAAAGGTTAAATAACATGAGTTCTATCTGTATGAAAGTTGGTACTATCTTCAAAAAACAGCAATAGAAAAATCCCCCTCCACACACACTAAACTGTACAAGAGAACAACAGTCTCTGCATATAAGAACAAATCTATCATCTGAAATTAAGTATAGAACATTAGTATCAGATAGCTATTTGGAAACAAATCTCAATGTTTAAAACTGATATTCTTGATTATTCAGTGCAAGCAAATACCAATCATATACTTGATATTGCACAGAAATGTAAAGAAAAAACAAAAATAATGGGAAAAATTTACAGATCTATCAGTTTTTAGCTTCTTTATCTGGGAGATAAAACATGATGGTAACAAAAAAAGAAATGCATCTAATGGTAACAATGAGGAGTCAGTAAAAAAATTCATGCTCCTTTTGTTCTAAAGAACTATAAAAATACCTCTAATCAAGTATGAAATAAAAGCTTGAGTACTAATGCCTTCCAAGCAAATTAAATAATTTTAAAAAAATACAAACTTCAACATCTGATTACTTTTTAAATAAGAACTAACTACATAAAATAAATCTACAAAAATTCCATACTAGTACTTTACACTTAAAATGACCATAGTTTAATTTTACAGACAGCTTCACATAAATTAAGAGTATATAATTTTTGTATTTCATCACAATTTTGTATTCTGTTTACACACCTTCTGATTTAACAAATAATTTATTTATTTCGAATTTTAATTTAATGAACTTTACTACCAATTCTGGAAAGTTTGTTAACTCAAGATTTAATTAATTACTACAGTTTTAATTAATATAAAATTAAATATTTTCAGTTGTTAGTCTATATATAAATATTAGGCCTACTAAAAATTAACAGCTTTCTAGATTACATTGCTTGATATTTACAGCATTTCCCTAGAAATGGAGTATACTTTAGTTTAAGTACAAGGCTCTCAAAGAAACGTTAAATCTGTATGATGCAACTGCACCTATTTGTGAAATTTTCTTCAAATAACTGATGATTGCTGGCCCCCTTTCAGAAAAGAATAACACCAGAAGTCAAAACGTGTACTTAACAAAGTCTGCACAAAATAAACTGATATCTTCACAGCCAGTATAATCATCAGTTTTCTACATTGATTTTACAACATAAGTGCAATATTATATGTTGAAGAGTTATATTTAGGTATACTTTAACTAATTTTTATCATTTGTCAGTTGAATGTTGGAAAATAATAAAGCAAATTGATATTTGATATAGACTGACTTAAACCTTAACCATTAACTTAAATCTTAAACATGCATAAAAAATTATCAAACAGCATACGGAATAACAGTTTTCACACCATGTATGAAAATAAATTACAAAAGGATACTCTGCTTTAAGAAATTGAACTTCAAAGTTGATAATTCTTCTATGGCTATTGTTATGGCAACTGCAACAAAAGCAGTTAATATTCCTATGAGACAAATTACAAACCATCTCATAAATGAAATTTTGGTAGGGGCCTGCAATTAAAAAATATAAATTATTATATTTTAATTTATTAAATACAAAAGTAAAATTATAATAATCAAGTACTATACACATTACATATAAACTAATTGCAAATTTAATCTCATGACTTACATCTATGCAACGCAGTTTTGGCATACAACTATTCTCTGCTTCAAAAAAAGGCTAAAAATTAATAAAAGAGAACTTCACTGATAGATTCTTTTCAAGAAATTACATTAAATATTTCACGGAAATTCAAGTCTTTAAAAGCAAACTAACATATAATAATTTAATATTGCTTTAAGAAAACATACGTCAGACTTCTTATTCTGCTGCTCTGTAAATAAGGAATTTTCACAAATATCATAGTCAAGACTCTGCAAAGAAAATAATAATTAAATCTTAAATGCAAATTTGAAGTTATTAAAGAATAACAATGGACAGTTAACTGGCAATAAATAAAAAAAAAAAATTTGTTGCACTTGCTATTAAATTTTATTTTCTTAATGTATCAAAATTTTTTCATTCTCAAAATATCAAAGAGGATACCAAATAAGCTTTAATAAAATTAAATACCAGAAAACAATGAACGGTCATTCTAACATGGAAAATACCCATAAAACAATTTACCAATTTAATGATAAAAATAATAAAACTTATTCCCAAGCTGTGAGTGGTGGAAATACAACCAGTGGATTCATGCAAGTGTTTAAGGCTCTCTTAGAGTTGGAGAAATATCTTTCTAAAATTACCCAATTCATCAATAGCAACACTAAACACCTTAGAAAAGCACAGACATAGATGGAAAAGATACATATTTTATTCCTAATATTCAGATAACAGTAATTAATTCAAATACTACATTTTATATTTTGTAATCTTTGCTTTGGTTTTAAAGTTTAATATTTAATTTTAATTTTACGTATTCTCTCCCTTTATTCCTGAAATAGCCTTCATAAATTGCACTTAAAGATCAGCCCTCACCAGTATCCTAGTTCTCTCTTCTATCCTATTATATTCTCTCCTGCACCTCAAGTAGGACTCATTTGTGGAGAAACTTAATGCCAGCAGAGCACTCTTGCATGAAATTCCTAAATTATCCTGAAATGCTTCTCTATTTCCACAGCTGCTGACTGGGACTTTGCTGAAAATTACAAACACTTACGCTAAATTACTTAAATTTGAAATTTGATTGCTTTTACCATCATAATGCTCTCATAATTGTTCACACACTCAATTCATCCATACACTGGTATAGGGCTGTAGGAGTACAAAAGTATTAAAAATCCTAAAAATATTTAAACATTAATAGTTTCATCTAACAGAAATGATAAAAACAATAATTTAATTTTGTGCCTATTAAAAAGAAAAACATTTAAAATTTAACTAATGAAAATATTATTATTGTAATTTTTATTTCAAACAGTTGCTATGGTGACAATAAAAAATAAATAAATAAATAAATAAACTTAATGTTATCGAAATAAAATATATCTCATTAAATAAAACTGTTTTCATTACTGTTGTTTTCCTCAGTCATCTTTATTTGGTGAGTGCAAAAACATTGGTGACCCGTTTGACAACAAAAGATGCCAATATTGTAAACTTACGTATGGCATGAAAAGCTTCATAATAAATTTAGATGCAGTTCTTAGGTCTTCAGTCAGGTTTTAACTAAAATCATTTGAGATAAAGGAACAGATGGAAACAAAGATTTGATATCAATAGCAAAGATGGTAACATTAGAACTGACTGCTTTTGGATATAGTGCATAAAATTCACAAATAGAATGGATATTGAAGTGCAGGAAATTTCTGTTTGAATTTACTAGGACTGTGAAAGTCTACTGTTTACTACAGATTAGGGTGGGTGATTTTCTCTAGGAATTATGGTCTATATGAAAAGCTTTGGTGTCCTTAATCAGAATTGGGTTTAATATTACTACAGTAATATTTCATATCAAAAGACTCAGCTATTTTGCAAAATGCATTCTTTGGTGTTGGCAGAATCTTCAACAATGCATTTTGTATCCCATAGATACTCCTGGAAATTTCTGTTGAAATCGTCTTTATCAATGACGACCAAGGTCACCCATTTAATGATTTTCAAATTCTACATTAATACACATTATTTCTTACTATTTACTATAATATAGAGTATATTTATATTTTATTACAACATAAAAGTTTCATTTACAAATATATAATTAAATAATATAAATTTTAAATGTTTTATTCTTTGATTATAAATACTCCATTCAGGATGCACTGATTTGTATCCAAAAAGTGCTTTTAGGACAGGACATACATTTTTTATTCTAAATCATACGGTACAAAATTGAAAATGTTTTGAGAACAACTGCTTCAAGTTAAAATAGATGGTTTTACAGATGGATGGATGGTTAATCTTTGGCATATTCTCTATCTTCCTTAAATATCTTATGAAACTACAAAAAATAAAAACCTTGTTTCTGATTAAAAAAAAAAAAAAAAAGAAAAGGTTATAATCAAAGATTTCTTGCAACATTTAAAACCCTTTTATAGCAGGATCTCCATCAAAAAAAATAAAATTAGTACATGTTCCCTCTCCAACAATATTCACTGTGTTGGAAATCACCAAGCACTTTCTTTTATCAATATTATTCATTAAAAATGAAATTATTTACGAATAATGAAAAAAAAAACCTTTAATTATTGTCATATGTTGAATATCATAATGACTTATAAAGAAACTTTTCAAGCAATATCTTTCATTGATATGAAAAATAAATGATTCATTCCTAGCACTTTTTCTTATCAAGTATATAATTAGGTAGTTGTAGCTTAACATACTTCATATTTCTGTGATAACAAATTTTCAAGCTCAATTGACAATTTTCTATTGATGGAGCCATAGCTTTCACCAAAAGAGTTCTGACTTTCTTGGAAAAGTACAGAATGCGAGTCACCCTGCTAGAAAGAAAAGAAAAATGATCCTTTAGTACAGCCAGAAAAATAAATTATCAGAACAAAAGAACAATTAAAAAACAATACTTGAATAAAATTTGAATTTTGCATAAATATAAATAACTAATCCTTTACATCAGAAAGGGAAGAACTATCCCCCCCCCAAAAAAAGGAAAAAAAAAAGTATGTAGAAACACAAAGAGGAATTTAATATTAGTAAAAAAAAAAAAAAAAAAAAAAAAAAAAAAAAAAAAAAAAAAACCTCAGCATAGCAACAAAACATGTGATACAGTAAAAAGTCGTTAATCCGGACGCCCATAATCCGAAATGATCTATAATCTGGACTTCAAAGCTACAACTTTCTACGCATGCGTCAACGCATAATGCATTCACGCATGTGCATATGTGTTTACGCATGCCCGTAATACCTTTACGCATTCGCATAATACGTTTATGCATGTGCATTTAATGTATAACGGACAGTATAAGCTAAGCTAAAATTATCTAATTATCTATTTCAGTTAATGTTACAGATTGCGTTGTTCCTTAATCTTCGAATTGGATCCTGTTTATTATTTTTTGCAAACTGTTAGAGCAATTTTATAAAAGTAAACTTGAACTTTCTATTATGTCAAATAGAATTTCCGATGTTGAATACTGTCAAAGGATCTACAAAGCGAAAGCATGTTTCGACGTCCATCAAACAAAACGTAGAATTGCTGCAAAAAAATGGATAAAGGCATATCCTTTGTTTCTCTAACCATTCCGAAATCTGTTTATCAATTTCACGCTGCTCTGCGAGGGAGGGGAATGTCGTGGCGCGCAATGAACTGGAAGTTGATCTGTCAGCAATATCCTTATCTTCAGGGCAGATGTTTTTATTTTATTCGGCTTATAATTCATTACTAAATGTAGCATTTCATCTCGATGTACTCTGTCTTTTATATGATTTAAATCAAATTCATTATAAATATCCCGAATACACATCAAATAATTTTCTAATTTCGACTATGCATAATGTATGCTTTACGCATGCGCGCGTTGAAAGAAATGTTTAATAAAGTAAACAAATAAATATTAAGCTTTTTTTTTTTTTTTTTTTTGTAAACCCTTTACATCATAATTGTTCTTTATTTCATTAATTACGGTTTCACATTTTAAATTTTATAATTTCTGCATGCCATCTTACCAGATTTAAACTGATGATCTATAATCCGGAATTGCCAAAGTCCCGACGAGTCTGGATTAAAGACTTTTGACTATAATACGCCAATATTAGATATGCACTGTTAGATTGTTTCTTATAGATTCTTCTGAATAAAAATAAATAAATAAAATAAAACCAAAAAAGTTAATAAAAATTCCTATTCTTGACATTAACTTAAAATGACCACACCCCAATTTTGGCGGGACAGTCCCGCATCTCACCGATTTTTTAGAAAACATCTGCATTTCTTATTTTAAATGTAGTGTAAAAATATATTACCTATTATTTATTAATTATTACAGTGAATATAAAGAAATAAAAAATAATACATAAAATGCATGCAGAGTAAACTAAATTAGGCGATGTAACGAGTTAGATTTACTCAGTGGTGTTCGATCATTGGCATTACGTCTCGTCAAGGAATATGTATTGTTAATGGAGGAACAGCTAGCATTAGCAAGGGCTATTTGCTTTCCACACCATAAACCACAATCAAAGTTTCAGATCAATTGATTGTACATCGCAAATGATCAAAACATTGTACGACAAAAAATTGCACGTGCAAGGACAAAAAATGAAGCAATTATTTTTAATGTTTTTCACCCTATTTGTTTTCACAATTGCAGAAAGAATTAGATAAATGCACATTTATATCCATACATTATGATGTTTCCAACCACAAAGATTTAAAATTATTTCCCACAATTGTTAGACCTTTTTTTGATCCAGAAACAGGAATTAAAATTAGAATATTAGACTTTGTTTCATTGCCGAGTGAAACATCTTTTCTCCAATGCCAGATTGTGAACAGTTACAGTTTTGTAACAGAGTCCATTAATCTATACTAAAGCCATATGTAGTGGTCTTATTATGGAGACACCTAATAGGTGGGCTACCATTGCCTCCTATGAAGGGACGGGCAGTTACAACCATGACTTCTCCTGGGATTCAAACCTCGGGACCCTTCGGCATCGCAGTCAGGGCTCCCCTAACCACTATGACCATCTGAGCGGCTGCCTGGGTTGAAACTTCAGAAATAATTTTTTGATTCAATAAGTAGGTACAATTTTAAAAAAGAATTATTTGAACAATAAAATTATTGCCTATTGTGAAGCAACTAATTTTATTGTTGACACTAATGCAAATTTTGGTGGAAAAGCTAGAAGAGGCATCAATAACGTTTTTACGAAACTTAACGTCTGAACCAAAAAATTATTCAAGTAGGTTGTGCAGCCAACATTCTACACAATAATATTCAAACAGCATCTGACTTATTTCCAGTGCATGTTGAAAATATTATTGCAAAAATTTATTCGTATTTTTATATATATATTGTGCTTGTCGAAAGTTTGAAGGATTTTTTTAAAGCAGAGAAATTGAATATAAAAGAATTATTGGTTACAACAAAACATGATGGCTAGTTCTTTTACCAGCTGTAGAAAATATTTTTAAAATATACGAACGATTAAAATCATACTTTTTATCACAAGATAAATGTCCAAGAATATTGCAGCTGCTTTTTGAAAATGACACGTCACAAATTTGTCTTTAGTTCATCCACAACCAAGCTATATTATTTCACAATGCTGTGAAAATTATTGAAGAGGACAAAATTTCAATTACGGAAGTGTCAAATGAAATCAATAACTTGCTAGAAAGAATTGATAATGATTATGTTCCTTTAGTTATCCGAAAGGACATCACTAGGTTGGAATAACAAGGTGCCATATGAAACGACCTGACTTTCTGAAAGAAGTCAAGAATTTTTATAATAAGTGCTTGGAATATCTTGAAGAACGGACAGTTCAATTTGAGGATATTAAAAGCTTTCATTGGGTGACATTAAAAAAGGAGATTTTATGGGAATATGTGGAAAAATCTTTTTACTACATTAGTAACCATTTTCTGAAAAATAATATTTGCAAAAATGATTTTTTTTGATGAGGTGTCATTGATAAAAAGATATGTTACTGATAAAAAAATTAAATGTTGGTTATCTGCAATTGTGGGAACAGACAAAAAATGAATGGAGTTATTCCTTCATTTTAAACAAAATAATATTCCTTATGAAAATATTTTGAAAATTATAGAACACACGCTCTCCCTTCCAGGAACAAATGCAGCAACAGAACGTGTTTTTTCAATAATATCAATAAAATATGGACAATCGAAAAAAATGCAGTTGAACATTAAAACTTTAAAATCCGTATTAAGCCTAAAATATAATTTGACCAATTCATGTGAGAAATTTCACAACATTTTAATAAATGATCCAAATCAATTGCAAAGTATTCACTCGGATAAAAAATATAACTGTGAAAAAAAATCATTTTTTTAAATAAAATATTAATTAAATTAATTAAAAAAATATTCAAATTATTTTTTTATTACAAATATTGTTATAGTTACCAACAGGTCATAATAAATATATTTTTGTATATTTATAGACAAGTATATGAATGTATATAATAAAATATGTTTTTTTTTTTTTTGAATTATTGGTCTGCTTTCATAATTCTCATTTTATTCCATTTGTCCCGCTTTGTCTCAATGAAAATGTGGTCACTTTAGATTAACTCCACTTTTAAAATCAAAAGAAAATTTTAATGTTATTTTTAAATTTAATCACAATTTCTTGTAGTACTGTTTTTCAACATTATTTGTATTACAACTTAGATATACATTAAAATAGGCAAAGTATAGCACGCTAGATTTCATAGTGATTTACTCCTAATGTATATTTATGCTGTTTCAAATGATTGTAACTATAGAAAATACAAAATATGGCAAGATTGAAATGAGAGTAAAAATGTAAAACAGGCAGCAAATATGAAACCTATCCTAAACTTTTTTTTCTTCTTTACTGCTGTGCTCAGGAATTTTTTTAAATGCTGATAAAAAAAAATATATATATATATATATTATATATACACAAGCTTACAAAATGTCCCCCCCCCCCCCAAGAAAAAGAGAATGTCAAATATCCATAGATGGGAAAAGGGAAAGTGAGCACTTAACCGCTTGCCTGATTATCCTGAGTTATCTCGGGTTCGTATATATATTGCAGTTAATTATTACCCTGAGAAAACTCGGGCGAAACAGAATTTGATAGTACGATTTCTTTTATCACGGTTTTACTCGGTCTGGAGGAAATGAAAGGAAATATTTACCTTTGATTGGCAGTTTGCCAAATTTTGTTGGTTGCGCGGTTCTTTTGGAGGGACTGGTCGCGTGTTTCCCTATTGTATAGTATACGTTGGCGTGTGGATTAGTAATGTATAAAGAAGGATACATGCGAGGAAAAAAATAAAATAATGGCGATATTCCAGCGGCAAGCCAGTAAGAAAAGAGACCAGATACCAGCGTAAAATGTCAGGTATCACTCTGTGTTGTCCCTTGTTTCAAAAACTATCATACAAAGATTAATATTTAACTTTTTTTGTTTGCTCGAGATAACTCGGGATAGTAAACTAATATTAAAAATAAATGCTTTTTCACCTTCAAAAAATTAAAAATTCAACTTAAAACCTACATATTTTGATTTGTTTCGTTTTTTTGTATTTAATAATAAAATAAAAAAATGTGATGAATTTTTGCAATTTTTTTCAAAAAAAAAATGTAAGGGAAGCGGTTAAAAAAATTATGTTTGTTAAATTTAGATTACTATACCATGAAGCATAACTTTTAAATGATATTTAAAGAAAGAAGACTTTGTTAGCACTATCTACAATAAATTTAAAAGCATTATATACTTGATAATGCTTTCATTCTCAATGCTATATTGGCCAACTGCCCA